CTGACGAACTTTCTCCTTGAGCTCGAACTTGAGCTGGCTGACCTCCATCAGAGATCGATGGAAGCTTTCATGATGGAGCACCGAAGCCCGAAAAACAAATCAATGAAATCATGAAGATACGCTGAAGTTAAATGAGCTACACGAAGAACACAAGTAAAGGAAAACTTACCCGGTTCAGTGCCTGTTGTGCCTTGTTGAAGAGGCTCGGATTTCTCACCTCATTCATCTTCGCCTGATCCTCTTTGGTCACTAAGCATAGAAGATAGCTGGGCACACCAAGCGGTTCGGACAGCACCCGGGTATCCACCAAGATCGTAAACACGACCATTATTTTGCGGTCGGGATCCACGCTTGGAGCAAGGAACTGCTTCACCAGCTTCGGGCTCGAGCTCAGCCTGCCTGCATCTGATGACACATCTTTTTTCGGGAACTTTAGGTGACCGAACCCGGAGTAATCCTCCAACGTGCCGATGTCCACACCATCAAAGAACAGGTTGAGGGTCGCGCCTGCGGCCCGTGCCATCTTGTTTGGCTTCTCAGCCTGAGCCTCATCGAATGAGGACTTTGTATGGGATGATGATTTCGTGATGTCAATGACACCGACAGCTTCGCTCGAAGCAGGGATAACTTCTTGGGAGACCGTAGCCACTGGTTTTTCTTTTGGCTCCCAAGCTAAAGAGGGGTCGGCCACTCGGTCACTTCCCCCAATTTTCACCCACTTTTCTTCATCAATGGCCGGCCCATGGGCGACGAACTCTAGGTTGTCATCTTCAGGATATCTCCGAGACCGTAGAGGGAGTCGGGGTCTGGTACCATAGCCCGGTTACTTTTCTTATTACTCTTTAGGGCCCGGACCACTACCCTCTTCTTCTTGGCTTCGGTGTCCGGGGAACCCGAAGACTTTCTCTTTCTTCTCTTCTTCTCCTAATTCTTCGCAGCAACCTCAAGATGTCCTAAAGTAGAGGGTTTATTAGGTGAGGACGAAGCCTCATCCTCATCCAATGCTCGGAGCTCAGTGATCTTGGGCAAACCTATGAAAGAAAGAGAGGGATTTAGAGAAAAACAGTTGAATATGTAAGTAAGTTTGGTTGGGAAGAGCACTCACCATGGGAACGATCCTCCCACTTGCCCTTCGAGAGCTTGCGCCATTCGCGCTTGAAATACGTCATCTGCGTGTAGATCCCCTCGACCAACTCTTTGAAGTGGGGAACTGCGCTGGGGACTCGGGCAACCGCTGTACGATGATAGAAACAGTCAATGAAAAAGAAGAACAGAAATTCACAAGAAATTCTAATTACTCGAGAAAGAGAGGAAATTACGGGCTAGGTTCCACTTTTCAGGGAACGACAGGAACTCAGAAGGAATGAGATCCTCGATTTTCACCTGAACGAACCTCCCCTTCCAGCCTCGGTCTCTATCTTCATCGATGCTCGAGAATGGAGCTTTCTTCGCCCGACGAACGAGCTTGATTAGTCCCCCTCGGAAGATTCGAGGACTATAGAGACGAGCATGTGATCGATGGTGAATCGAGGTGCCTCGGTGTTATTAACAAAGTGGCGGAGGAGGATCACGATCCTCCAAAAAGGACGGGTGAATTTGCCCGAGGCAGATCTCGTACCTTCTGCAAAAATCGAGGACTATGGGGTCCACCAGGGCAAGTGTGAAGGGGTATGTGTAAACACTTAGATACCCCTACACATGTGTGGTGATGTCCTCATCAGGACCGAGACGACCACTTTTTTGCCCTCCCATTTGTAGTCCTCCCAAACCGTAGGGAGTGTGTCCTTGGTGATGGAGCATACATACCTCCATACCTCCTCGCCTCGATCCTGTTGACTAGAGGCTTTTTCGGCCTTGAAGTCATTTCTATAAAATAGCCTCCGGGGATGAAATTCTTCAGGGGAGATTCCGGGGCCACTTCAGGTACGACCACCTCAGCATCCGTGGCCAGGCTAGAAGTTGAAGGGACTGTCTATTAGGGCACAAATTTCGAAGTATCCGCCATCGAGTTCTAGAAAATATCAAGATTTGAAGATGAGGATGAAGATTTGGAGATGAGGATGAAACTTGAAGATTTAAGGACGAAGTATGAAGATTTGAAGATGGGAAGATGAAGATATGGAAATATATAAAACAATGTATGAAGATTCGAAGGGGTTAAGAACAAGTGAAAGGGGTAAATTAAGAAGTTCTGGAATCGGAAAGTAAAAAAGTAAAAAAACGACCGGAGCTTTTATAGAGAGAGGGCAATCAATGCGTAACGTTTCACATTCGAGGACGGTCAACCGACGGCTGGCACGTGTCCGAAGTCAGAACGACGCGACTGATGGGATGTTTCACTGACCTGTCGACTCGGTTATAGCGTACGAAAGAAAGAACCGGGGTCAATTAATCGCTTTCCGTCGCTTAAAAAAAACCTGCTATCCGAAAAGCGAGGAGACTATATGTGTACGGGTAAAATCGGGGGCGATATTTTTTCCGATTACCTAATAGGGAAACGAGAGGAAGCACGGTCCCGACACAACTACGAGCAAGGCCGAAGGATCCCTCGTATCGGAACTCGGGAGGAGTGAACAATGCATTTGAGATCGGGCACGGCAAAACAATGGCCCGCTGGCCAAGTAAAGTTTCGAGACCACGGGAAAAGGAGGAAATGGTTGGGCACGACAAGTGGGGAGCTGTAATATTCGCCCTCAACCGGATATTACCGCGCAAATCTCGTCCGATATCAACTACGGATCGACATTTACCGGAAAAAGAATATTTTTACCTTATTTAGACTTGTATTAGGACTGAAATTCTCCTACTATATAAAAAGGAATTTTTTTTTTATTTTAACACACTGTTGACACGCATACCAAAGCAATGAAAGTTTATTTTTGTCTTCTAACTATTATTCAAAGTATTCTTCAGCTATTCTCTTCTTTAAACGCAACCGAGCTTATATTGAGGGTTCGATCGAGGCCAAATTTCAGTGTTCAACTTGAGACCAAGCTTGATTGTTGCATTGCGATTGGTTTGATCGTTTATTCTCTCTTTAATTTAATTAATTGTTGTTATTAGATAATTCGTATTGAATCAAATCACGTGTCCTTTAAACCGCATACAAATTTGATTGTTACCATTTTTAGGGTAAACATGTATAAATACATACTTTGATGTTACAACATAAATCAATCAATATAATACCAATTTCATCTCCCCAAACGTGTATTTATTGAGTTTAATTATCATCAGGGAACCTCGGCATCATTTTTAAATGATTCAATCCAATAAAATGATACAATGTGGTCGGAAAAGGAAAATAACCCAAGGAATAACGTTAACATCTTGAGTTTCATGGCTTTCTTCAATATTCAGAATGAATATGTCATTTTCCCTCAACTAACTTTGAAAAGTCTGGTCTCTCATTCAAAGATCTCGTCTTCTCCTACTAAAAATATAGTAATATTTTTTTTTCAAAAATATGTAAAACTACTTTAAATCACATACTTCATATGTTTCAATTTATGTGGTTGAGTTTGACCTGATATGAGTTTTAAATTTTTTTTTTGAAATTTGTGCTCTTAAATATTCTATAATATTTGTGTGGCTATAAGACATTTGAAACTTATAGTCTTAAACATTCAATAACATTTGCGTGACTATAAAATTTTTCGTTAAGGGCAAAATAAATATAATAAAAAATTTAAAAATTAAATTATTTTTAAACATAAAAATATATTATTCCTTTTAGAATAGATTAATAAGAAAAACATATCACACAAATTGAAATGGAATAAGCAATAAATACACCTTTTTTCCTCTCGAAAAAACACCCTAGTTGGAACTTTGGAGTAGTAGGTTTAACCATTTGTGTTAAACTCTAACCATGGTAGCGTGTGAAGGGAAAGCCACACATGAATATGGTAAAAACTTACCCGCATCGGGTGCTTACACCAAACCAATAGATACATAACATGTGTCTTGCTTATGGATTTCAATCATTTAACCATGGTAAATTATATGCGTTCTCATCTAATTAAACTAATTAACCATGGTGAGTTAACATAGTTTGGTGTAAACACCCGGTGTGGGTAAGTATTACCCGTGAATATTGTACGAGTTCAGTCAAATAAATGACAAAAGTTTCGGCTTTGCTGCTCACTTTCCTACATCACAGTCTCCTATTCTTAACTCACATATTAGTATTATACTTTACCAATACACATTCGTATTATATACTCCATCATAATGGAAAAAAAGGATGAACAGAAAACTGTACAAACTAAAATTTTAGTAACATGTTAATAGGGCTATTATGTATATAAAAAATCTCTCTTCAAACATTTCATGTTAATTTAGAAACTAAAGATAGATGAGGAGTTTAGATTAAATAATTTAGAATATAACAATTATCAATTATGGTATCACATTAAATGAAATTAAGAAATATATATTTATAGGCTTTTAACTGTATATTATTTTTGTCCCAAGTTAGTAATTATATTTGATTTTATACAAATTTGAAGGAAAAAAATTGATATGTAAATTAAATATATGTGAAGTGTCAATTTTTTTTATGAAATGGGGGAGGGGNGGGGGGGGGGGGGATATAGTGATTTTCACATGTCTTTTCGTCTTTTCCTTTTCTTATCTGAATAAAAAAATTTAGTTAAAAATAAAATGAGAATAAAAGAGTCTCAAAAAAATATCATTCTTTTGTAATAAATTAAAAACAAAGTGTGTATATTCTTTTTCAGTGTGACTGTTATTTTTTTGGTTTCTCACTCGGTATCCGATATCCGTATTGAAGCCGATTTGGATTCGCGTCGCATAGAGTTCCATTCGAGGAAAGCGCTCTCTACCAAGAATATTTTCGTATCCAGAGTACGAATCCGAAACCTCTAATTAAGAAAAGAGCAATCTAATCCATTGCACTGCATCCGTGGTTTATTTTCTTTATTACACATAAGTAATCATATATTAGTACAAGAATTGGTGATATAAAATGGCATGGCACCAAAATAACATCTAGCCCCCCCACCTCACACCGTCATCTAATCTCCACCGTCATTCTTGTTGTGTTGTCTACACAACTCCATTCCCCCACGCCCCCTTTTCCACCTTTTCACTTCTCTCTTCCTCTTTTGCTCTCTACCGCTTTCTTCTTCTTCAAAAAGCTTTGGGACATAACGTAATTCTTTTCCACGATCTTGCCACCACTATCATGCCCACTTTTGTACTGTTTTCAGTACTTTTCTTGGCCATGACTGGTCATTCAAGTAAGCTTTAATTTCTTTGTAATCCTATTGAATTTGAGCTTCAAATGCTGATCAGATAATATTATTCAGTACAGGGTTCTTTTTTCTTGATCAATACTTCAAGAATTTGGTTTTTTTGAGCTGATTTTTTTATATTTAATTTGTGGCTATCTTGTGTCACTACAGGTGCTATGTTCTGTATTTGTAAAGATGGTGTAAGTGATCAACAACTTCAAAAAAACATAGATTATGCTTGTGGAGCTGGAGCTGATTGTACTCCTATCCTTCAAAATGGTGCTTGCTTTAATCCTAATACTATTAAAGATCACTGTAATTATGCTGTAAATAGTTATTATCAAAGAAAGGGTGCAGCTGGTGCTAGTTGTGACTTTAGTGGAACTGCAACTACGAGCCCAAATCCACCAACTAGTAAGTTCTTTTAAAAAAAACAATTTTTTTTTTGACTCATGACCCACATAATTTTTTTTTTTTTTTTTTTATAATTTTAAGCATTCTATTTGATTTACTGATTTTATTTTTTTAATAATCAACAGCCACAGGTTCTGGGTGTGTTTACCAGTCCACTCCTGGGTATGTTCTCTGTTCTCTATACTTGTCGTATGTGACTTAGATCTTGCATTAATTTGTTGCCAATTTTAAATGAAGCATCTATTAAGTTCAAAATATTTTTTTAAAAAAAATGCTAGCACCTTTAATTTCCCAAAAAGGGGTCTTTTGGATTATCTTGAACAACCACCTAAGCTTAATTTAAAATTTCACTACTAGTAAAGTTGTTCTGAAGGAAAAGCTTACTTTGTAACATTTTTATCTTCTCCTGGTGTCGGTAGAGTTTAGAAGGTAAAGAGTTTGTGATATATGAAAGTTAAATTTCTATTATTTGGTAAAAATAATTGCAATTATTGGTATCTAGATTAAGATCCGAATCCGAATCCGAACTTGATGTATGACTTAATGGTTGCCACCCAAATTGGTACACTTCTTTTCAAAGTGGTTGCCAGTCAAATTGGTTTCTTTCTTCCAAATAAGATTATTGTTGCCAATTTTTCTTTCCCTTACCAAAATAGGCACTCCTGTCCTGGCTATGTTACAGTAATTTTCCTTGAAATGATGGTGAATGGTGTTGTGATTCATCATCATATATGCACATGCTCAGTGGCGGAGGCAGAACTACCGCCAAGGAGGTTCGAAAGAAGTAAAAAGTTAAAAAGATTGTAGCTAGTGGGAATAGAACTAACAACCTTACAAAGATTTTGAACCCCTTGACCACTAGGCTATACTTTTGGACTATGTCAAGGGGATTCAAAACATAATACATAGAGGTAAAACACAGATTTTACCTTACCTATACGGTGTAATTTTTCGACGAAGAAGGTTCGGGTGAACACCCTTCCACCCCCAAATTCGCCCCTGCACATGCTGGCAATCTTGATGATGATGATATGTTCTGTATATCAATATGGTATTTTGTACATTTCTTCTTTGCCATGATGAAAAGGCCAGATTTCCTGAATTAGTAATAAGTTGGTTCCTACTTTCTTTGCAGCCATAAATCTCACTTCTTATTTTTTTTTTTTTTTTTTTTTTGTCTCTATTGCATTATATTCGCTAGCTATTTAGAAATAATTTAACTTTAAAATTTCAAATTATGTCGCATAATATTGTCTGGCTGATTTCTTGTTTCTTGATGTTCTTTTTCAACTTTGTACCAGCAACACTGGTGGAGGTACCACAACTCCAACAATCTCACCACCAGGAACCACAATACCAACGATTGCGCCACCAGGAACCACAACTCCAACGATCGCACCACCAGGAACCACAATTCCAACAACTGCACCACCAGGCACCACAACTCCAGGAATTGGCACCGGTGGCACGGGCACAGGCATAGCGACGACGCCAGGGACAAACAATCCAGTATTCGGGCTTGGACCAAGTGGAAGTGGCATTAGCAACACAGACGGTAATGCAGCTGGACATTTTAAAAACAGTATCTTTTTAACAATAGCACTTTTGGCTATAAGCTTAATATGCTTAAGGGCCTAAAGTGAAAGAAGATGAAAGATGGATATTCTGCCACGAGAGTTTGGTTGTTAGGCGAAGTTTCAATGCTGAAACAGTGAATTTAGCCTTGTGGGAATATATCTTTCCTTTTGTTTTTTTCTTCTTCTTTTTTGGTCTTTCTATCTTATAATGGTTGCGTGGAAAAGTTGGAATTGGATTCCCTTTTAAGTGGAGGCCTAGTTGCTGCTTATGGTGTAGTAGTTTTAGTAGTGTAGAAGAATCGGATCCCTGTCCCCTTTTTAGAAATTTCCCCTTTGTTGTTGTATATCTATTATATATAGAGTAAAGGCAGAGGCTGTATTTATTATTTCAAATTATAACAAATTAGAACTCTCTATCCCATCCTAATCTCTACTCTCTCTTGATCCAAATGATTATAGTTGTCAAAATGGCCTGATCTGTGTGGCTGAGTTACCCAATTCACTAGTGGGGCTGGATTAGGATTTTCAAGTCGAATTTAAGTTGCAGGGGTCGTTGTTTGATTAGTGGGATAAGAGAACAATTCTATGATAAAATGTGAGATTATTTTATCATGCGTTTGGTTATGGGTATTAATTAGTTTCGGGAATCATTTTGTACTTCAGCTATCACATGTAGAAGGTGGAATATCTAATCTCACGGGAATTCTAAATTTATGAGATATCCTTGCTTATTTTGAAGTAAATTTTATGGGTGGTAGTTCAACTTTGTGTTAAGGTTATTTTTCTTCTTTTTGTTACGTAAAAATTATTTAACTTTGTGTTCATTACTCTAAAGTCATTTTTCTTTCTTTTGTTATACAAAAAGCATTCTACTTTGCTCTATTTATTACAAAAGTCATATTGGTCAGATTTTATAATATTTTACTTGAAAAGTCCATTATGTCCTTGGCATTATAAATTCTCCCATTTATGTAACACCTTCTATATTATATACTATACAATATATTTTTACTTTTTACTTAATATATCCATACATTTAATAGTTTCTTTGCATTCAATTTGTTTAATCATATTCAAACATGAACATATTTTAAATATAAAAATAAAAATATATTTTTTTAATATTTATTTAAAATAATAAAAATAAATTTGCTTAACAAATGATAGTCTTAATAGTTAATAAGAATATTAGAAAAAGTTTCAAGATATCGGTGTTTAGTATGAAGTTCTTTAATTTTTATTTGTTAATATTATTTACTTGAAATTATCAATTCGATGTGTCATTATGCTAACCGTAGGAATTTTATTTATTGATTAATGGGCTTGGCTGATAAATCAGTATGCTTTGATTTTATAATTTTCGTTAAAAATATTTCATTAAGCATGGTTAAGAACGTGGACTTGAGATTTGTTCACGGTAATGTTGCCGACAAATTTAATAATGCTACTTTCATATCTTAAAAATTAATGTTAAGAAAAAATTAAATGTAAGAATATTGTCACGACCCATTTTTCTCAATAGGTTATGAGGGCGCCTGACATCCTTGTCAGAGAAGCGATTTCGGAAATATTACCAAAATAGTTTTATTGCTTTTAATTAGAATTAAGCGAAATAAACACTCAACTTAGAATTTAAAACCAGAAGAGATAAATATCATAATGAAATAGTTACACGACCCCAAAATAATCGTCTACCAAAGTGTGTGCCAGAACCTGGTGTCATAAGTTACGGGCAACTAGTAGAATATACAACCCAAAAGAATACCACACTACCCTACTCTCTGGATCAGAATAGACAGAAAATAACAATGCAAAAGAAAGACTTCTTCGGCTGCGGATCGGCATGGAAGGAAGAGCAGCTCACCGTAGAAGTCCCAAGTCTGCTCACAAATGTGCACCAGAGAAATAACCGGATCCACCTGCCTCAAACCCTGTACATTTAAGTACAGAAGCGTAGCATGAATACATAAACAATATGTACCCAGTGAGTATCCCGCCTAACCTCGAAGGAGTAGAGACGAGAGGTCGACTTGATACTCACTAGGGCCAAATAATATCATAAGTTTAAGTTTAACAATGAAAATCTATAACAGGCAACAGTTTACAACTAGGCGTATAAGTCATATTCTCGCTAAGATTCTGATTAATCAATTACTTCAGTCACAATTATCAATTCCTTTCGAGTTATGAAAAAGCGATTCTAATAGTTAACACTCTCAGGCAAAGCTATACAAGCATGCGCAAATATGCCGAGGCGACGGCCCGATCCAACAGAAATAAACTGTGCACTTGCCGAGGGTCGACGGCGCGCCTATAGATGCATCTATTCATACCGAGGCGATCGGCCCGATCCACAAATAAATAGGAATATCAAGTATACACACAAGGCACATCAATAGTCATAAATGCCAAGCAAGACTTCAACAATTATACAAGTACGTTCTTATTCCCTTTTTAAATCTCTAGCATACCCTAGGTGTTCATAGTAACAAGATAATAAAGAGAGTCATGTAAAATAAGCATGATGTGGGTCCTAAGCTACCCGGACCATCAACATAGTAGTAGCTACGCACGGACTCTCGTCACCTAGCGCGTGTGTAGCCCCCGCATTTAGCAACAATTACTCAATTATTAATCCTATGGGAACAGTTACCCCTCACAAGGTTAGAAAGGAGACTCACATCGCTCCAAAGCGCGCTCCCGAATATCAAGAACAAGCCCAAGCTCTTAATTCGAAGCCGAACGATCGCAAACTAGTTAAAATAGGTAAGAACTAGTCAATAAAGGCTTAAAAGGCCGAATTCTAACTATTTAAGTAATTTTCCAACCTTTCCCACAAGTTTCCTAAATTCCGACCCCGGACCCACGCGCCCGGATTCCGATATTTTTCGAAGGAAATTGTTCTCTACAACCTAAGGATCAATAATATATGATTTCTAGTCCATTTCATAACAAATTTCATGCTTAAATCTTAGTTTTGCTAAAACCTTAGGTCTAGCTCTAACCTTTGATTTTTACCAAATTTTAGTATTTAATCTACATAATGTTCATGTAATTTAACTTATAATGGAGGGAGATTACTTACCTTGCAATAATATGTTGAAACCCTCTCTTTGGAACCACCAAAATCGCCCAAGTGAGGAGTAAGGTATGGGGGAAATGACTTTGAACTCGGATTAAATGCACTCACTGCCTTCCAGCGATTTCCGCTTCTGCGGTTAGAGGACCGCATCTGCGGTCCCGCACCTGCGAAAAGGTGGCCGCATCTGCGAAAGTGGGCGAGGGAGGGTTGGACCGCTTCTGCGGAAGTGGGCGAGGGAGGGTTGGACCGCTTCTGCAGTCTGAGGCCCGCACATGCGGAACTGCTCCTGTGGTTACCTGGCCGCTTCTGCGGCTTGGGCCTTGAATAGCTGGACCGCATTTGCGGTCTGGGGATCGCATAAGCGGGATCGCTTCTGCGGTCCCTGGGCCGCTTCTGCGGCTTTCCCTGGGCCTCCCCCCTTTTCGCATCTGCGATGACATGACCGCATCTGCGGTCCCGCTTCTGCGGTTCAAGAACCGCAGATGCGGTTATGACAGAAGCAGCAACCTCCAGCCCTTTCTAAGTTTTCTACTTCGCTCGAACCTAGTTTGTTTGACGCTCGGGGCTCCCGAGCCCCGTCCGAACATACCGACAAGTCTGAAATCTCGAGGCGGGCCTACTCGAACCCTCGGAACTCCCAAAATAACGCTAAATCTTAGAATCACCCCTAAAACCAAATGAATCAAACTATTGAATCCTTAAGTTCTCAATTCTCCTCTAACGGGTCAAAACACCCTTAAACTACTCGGATTGACACCAAATTTTACGGGCAAGTCTTAAATGACATTACGGACCTGTACCAAGCTTCGGAACCAAAATCCGAGCCCGATACCTAAGGAATCAATGATTTCTTATTTTCTTTAATTCTTTAAAGCTTCAATTAAACAATTTCGGATAAAAATTCATTACTCGAGCTAGGGACCTCGGAATTCGATTCCGGGCATACGCTCAGGTCCCATATTTTCCCACGGAACCTCAGAAATTGCCAAATCAAAATTCCGGGTCCGTTTTCTCAAAATGTTGACTGAAGTCAAACTTGGTCTTTTAAGAAAATCTTAAAGAAGCAATCGAGCATATTTTGCTCTAAACCTTTCCAACTTCCGAACCACTCGCCCCCGCAAGTCGTGAATTAGTTGAAGCAAGTACGGAAGGCTTAATTTAGGGGAGCGGGGTTCTAGAAGGCAAAACGACCGGTCGGTTACATTCTCCACCTCTTAAATAAACGTTCGTCCTCGAACGGGCATAGAAAAGTACCTGGGCTGCTGAATAAGTGGGGATATCTGCTCCGCATGTCCTCCTCGGACTCCCAAGTCGCCTTCTCGACCGGTTGGCCCCTCCACTGGACTCTCACCGCAGAAATCTTCTTGGACCTCAGCTAGCGATCCTGTCTATCAATAATAGCAACTGGCTCCTCCTCATAGCCCAAGCTCTCATCTAGCTGAATGGTGCTGAAGTCCAACACGTGGGATAGGTCGGCATGATACTTCCGAAGCATCGAAACATCAAAGACTGGGTGAACTCCTGATAAACTAGGGGGTAAAGTAAGCTCATAAGCAACCTCCCCAACTCTCCTCAACACCTTAAAGGGTCCAACAAACCTTGGGCTCAACTTGCCCTTCTTCCCGAACCTCATTATGCCCTTCATGGGCGAGACTTTCAAGAGAACCTTCTCGCCCACCATAAATGATACATCCCGTGCCTTCTGATCCGCGTAGCTCTTTTTCCTGGACTGAGCTGTGCGAAGCCTCTCCTGGATCATCTTTACCTTATCCAAGGCATCCTGTACCAAATCTGTGCCAAGTACCCTAGCCTCACCAGGCTCAAACCACCCGATAGGAGAACGACAACGTCTACCATATAAAGCCTCGTACGGGGCTATCTCTATGCTGGACTGGTAGCTGTTATTT